ACAAACCTCCACCAACAACACAACGTCGATGGAAATTTGGAAATGACGGTGTCGAGAGGCGAAAGACTGGCGAAAATTTTTACTACCCTCAACCCCTAACTCAACCTCAAATTCCATCGACTGAATAATTAAGCATCGATTGTATGTCGCGATTATCGATCGTCCTGCTCCTCATCTTATCGTCCTGATCCATACTATGCAACTAATCAATCCACGGTCCATTAAACGTCCACGAACGATCCACGTAAATTTTCGACATTTTATCTTATCGGGCCGTACCGCAGGTTAGCGGCTCGTGACACGAAATGCCGACGAGATGCTTCCTTTCGGCACGATGGAAAATGATGTCGAGTGCTGGAATGGAGATACTCCACTTCGATAGGAAACTGCCGGCGCGCAGTCGCGTCGCTGGGCTAATAAATTTCCGCGTGGACTGGCCGAGGCGAAGATGGAAGGTGCGAGAAAACGTCCGTGACAAGATTATCGGTTAAGTAACGAGGGACTACGATCGTCGTCCCGTCCGTGGATGCCCCGTCGAAGAACCGTAAGTTCGCTTCCCCAATGGGTAGCGGGGGAAAAGGGGTGGATAGAGAGGGGGAAGAGGAGCTAGGGGAATGGACGCGGCGTACAAAAGTTGACTTACCGGCAGAAGTAGCAGAGAGGATGGCGAGTGTCTGGCCGCGGCCTGCCTCAGTCTGAGAAAGTGCAGGAGCGGGTCCTCGTTCGCCCGTAGCTCCTCCAGAGTCCGACGCGCCTCGGCATAGCTCACCAGGTACAGCCAGTAGGCGTCCCAGAACGAAGTCGGGAACAGATCACCTGGAAGCAGTGACGAGAAAGCGACGTCAGCTGGGAAGGTTTTCGTCAAATAATAGTTTTTAAAATAGTTTCGATGAAGCTCCTAAGGTCGCTTACTTGCCGGATCGAGGACGTAAAAAAACGCACGGGCGATGCTTTGTACGGCAAAAGAAGAAAAATAGGCTTTTCTCGTGCAAGGTTGGCCCACGATTTTGAGTTTCGACTATTTGCATATGCGGGGTAATAGGTAGGATGGTCGTTGTCAATGTTTGGTGCGCTAACAAACGCATAAAACTTATAAAGCTTCGAATATTAAATGAGCCATAGAGAATAATTTACGGGCAGGAGCCTCTTTAAAATTATGATATCTTGAGCGCGAGATATGCGTAATCGCAGCCTTAAAATTTGACTTCCGTCGGCGCACGCGGCTCCTCATTAGGCACCTGGAATTTCCTTTTTATAAACAGTTTTACGAGAAAGGCTGCATATCGGTATCGCTGATAAGTAGCCGCTGCCGGTCGCTAAATCGCGGGGAATTATTTTGAATTTAAGAGAAAATTGAGTTTCTTTGTTCGAGAGAAAGTTGACAAAAACGTGTTTACAGTTCACTAGATAGCATAGATGGTATGTCTAAATTATGCATTCAGATAACGATCCTATTCGGGCAAACAAGAATAACATTTCCCTTCAATAAAGGAGAATGCGCCGTTGTGAACGAGCAGATTTAAGTTTTAACGAGAGGCTGCATTTTTCTTCGGAAATACAATTATTTTCCTCGGGCATAGAATTAAGTTTTACTTTCCGAAAGAGAATAAATCGTAAATAAAGGAAATGATCAACTGGCACGAGCTTTATCATTCATTCGTCACTCGTTTGTTATTCGACTATTATTATATTTATTAGTTACAATGCCGCCGTTGTTAATCAACGGCAAGCGCATTAATTTTTGCGGAGATGCCTCGTGTGCCGAAGTAAGGCGTTTCGTATTAGAAAAGCCGCGGAAACAATGGTTTATGAATCTCGTAGGTTCTACATCAGCGAAGGCGACGAACAAGTCAAAGTACGCCGAGAATGTTTATTCACTCGCGCTCGCTTAAATTACCAAGTCCGGACACTCGGCTAATTCAAAAATATCTTTGCGCATAACCATCGCTTAATATCCCATGACAAAGTATAAAATTCAATAACAAATTTTATCCGTGAATTTGCTGGCTAATTGTCTCCGTTCGCGGCACAAAGCACTTTTTAATTGTCAGAAAACAGTCGCTAACGCATGCATAATGAGAAATTATAAGTCGCGAGGGAGAATGAAGAGGGACGACTGCAAATAAACGAGCAATTAAAGCTAAGAAAACAAACGTGAGAATAATTCGCCCGCATGAGCGGCGGTAACATCAGCGTCAGGCCCTGGCTCACCGATCTTCCAGGAAGGGCCTTTTTCCTCCAGCTCGCGACCAGTCGCCGACGTGGATGGTATCGAGGGAGAGGAATAGCCGGGTTGAGGGGTATGGTGGACGATGATGGCGATGAGGGGCGAAAGGGGTGAGGGACGGGGGTCGCTAAGCGAGACACCGACGGCAGCGACGGCGGTGGTAGCGGTGACGGAGAGGAGGGGGTCGACGACGCGAAAGGAAGAGCTTAGCATGATTTACCGGCGGATCGTCCACTTCCGTCTGTCGGCGTTTACCGGCGACTCGCCGTCATCCACCTCCTGCAGTACTCGCGACTCTCGTCCAACTGGCAAAAACCGACGGGGCCGCGATTACGTGAAATTTACGATGCGCGCGACTGCGATTTCTCGCGGCGCGCGGTTAAGATCGTCCCTTTTTCCAATGCTGCTCTCACCCTGCAATCCCACCACCCCCCGTCATTCGTAGTAGGCACATGTTATCCTGGCTTCGCCAGGTCCCTCCGTTTATCCGCGGCCGACGACAGAGGAAATTCTCGGCAGTGCTTTCGCGGGCGCGGCTTACGAGAAGCGATGCAAGATTCTCGCGCAAGCTCCGCTCGGCCGACGACGGCCCCACTCGACGGCGCTGGGACGCTGTACACTTACCGGGCTTGAACGCTTCTCCGTCCCAATTTTCCAGTGTGCTCTCGATCTGAAAGAAGCAAAAAACAAAGAAGATAAATGATTGGCATGAATCAGCGTGGAGGAAGCGTGGAGAAAATAAACAGTGGATAAAAAGGGAGGTTTCGTCGAAATCCATCGGACGCGCTTAGGACATTAAAAGCTCGGGATCCGAGTTGGATTGCGACGATCGTTATAGGGGACGAGGACGCGGAGGAGGGATGGATGGACGATGAGGGACGGGGAGTAGGAAAAGGCGCCATTGGCTGCGCTCGGTAAATCAAGTTATCTCGAGCGCCTCCAACCGATTTCTCACGCATAAAGAACTCGTCAATCGAGGCAAAAAGGCGCGGGAAAAAGACAGGACCTATCGACGCAGTGGCTTTTTCCCGCGGATTTTCGCACAAGGCGTTATATCTCCTAATCAGCAAACATGTCAGGCGATTATTCAGCGTGCCGGACAAAGGGAAGAGAGAGGCGCGGAAAAGGAAGGTGGAAACGCGAGATGATCAATGCTCGAAGGAGACACGCTCCGATCCCCACCCTTAATTGCCAGTTCCCCGAAGAAGAGCTCACTCGGTCTCCTTCCCTCGTCTCCGCGTCCCGCACCGCCACGGTAGCGCGCATCAGCGCACACACGGTTATTTCGAGTTGCCCTATCAACCAGCAGCATGTAATCACAATAAAATCGTGTCCACACCGGGACGTACCTCCGCTCGTTCGCTTCCCTCCTCCTCCTTCTCTACCACCGCCACTGCCACTTTCTCATCCCCCGCTTCCCCTCCCGTCACAATCTCCCCATCCCCTCGACCGCCATCCCTCCCCCATCCCTCCCATCAACGCCATCCCCATACCCATCCCCATTCGACCATTTGCTCCGAGTAGAGGAGAGCGACTGGAACGACCGGCAGCGCTTATGTATAATCGATTCGTTGTTAATTACGCACTCAGGGGTATTTCTTCGTTTATATGGGCGCGCAGAGACGCTCTTGGTTCTTGGCGCCACGCCCCTCTTCAAGACAAGGAGACATAAAAGAGCTAGAAATCGTCCGTTCCACTTTATTAAATCAGAATGCCGGAGAGAACCGCGGCCGTGTCCCTGTCGATGACTCGGACTCTTGCGGAGAAAGAGAAAGAACTAGCGAGGGCGGGGCGGTACGAGAGGGAGAATGAGGTGGAGGTGGAGGAGGAGGAGGAGGAGGAGGACGAGGGCGACGCCGCTGGTGGGTCATTCAACCCACCCCATCGAAAGTTTCCTCGCATGACGAATTACTCGCCTGCAGATAAGTAAAAAGGATTAACTGCCTTGTTAGGGATATGTGCTAAGCGTGTGTCTCGGCATTATCTCTCCTTGCTTCGAGTTGCTCACTCGCTCCCGCTCCCGCTCCCGCACCCGGCTGCCTTTCTTTCTTTCTTTCCCTTTGCTCGCGACTTTAGCTGGACTTTTTTTCATTCCCCAGACTATGTGTGGGATGCGCGCAGCAGCTCATCTTGTAACTATATATACCCGCCTGACTAATTGTACGGAATGTGATGTTTGTTCTTCGAACACTGCATTTTACCAGTTGTACGCTCCATAGCCACGGTTGATGTATGTACGCTATTTTCGATTGCAAATGTCGGGGAGAAAAGGATGGAAATGATCGGACGTGTCATACGAAAAATGCGTGATGGATATTGTTCGGCCAGTGCCTTCTCTCTCTCGTCCGCAATCATTTCCCTAATGAAAATGCCCATCGCCTCGGCCTTCGTGTAGCGAGATAGTAAAGTCTATTTTCCTAAGAGGAATATTAATGCGAGGTTATTATTAAGACGAACTGGCAGCGATGACTAAGTACGACACTGCACTTGCTACTAGCGTCGTAATATTATAGGTTGGGATATCGAAGGAAATTGAATCAGAATTATTCGTCGCGCGAGGAAGGAGGAGGCAACAGTCGAGAGAAAAGCAGTTGAGCTTATTGGTAGTAAGGGTGACTTATTGATAGTCCCTTTCTCGAAAATTTGTCAAATTTTGTATTAAGAAGCTGTAGTTTTTATTTCAGAAAGACTCCGTTATCCCCAACGACGATCATCCCGAATTGTCTGCCTCGCTTAAGGCACATTATCTCTCACTCCTTCATTTATGTTCATTTCTTTCGACTATAGTGTGCACTTACAGCGCATCAGAGAGACTTTCGTAAAATTTTTAATTTGAATATTGCACAGGACTGGGCTTGGCTTATTATTTTTGTCCGTTGGATAATGATATTATAGAAATATTATACGAACGTCTTAATTGCAATCGATAAATAATCATAAAAATTAAGTAGAGAGGTAGCAAATCAAGAAAATTTGTGGTACCAAACTTTATCGTCCCACCCATCAAACGTCCTCAATATCAATAAATGATTTTAATTAATGTAATATTTCAATTTAATGTAACTGTAATGTAATTGCATACATCAGAGCCCATTACGAGTTCCATTATATATCATTCTACAAATTGTAAAGGGACGTTTTATTATTCGAAAAACTTCAACGAAAAATATATTAGAGACATTTGAGGTTCAACACAATTTTATTAGCATAATTCGTATATTCTTTAATTAAGATAAGTGAAAATTTCATAGCTAACGTTAATTCGCTCGTAAAAATTCAATGCTATTGTTTATTTATTGTATTAAATAATAAATATTAAATATTAAATATTAAATATTAAATATTAAATATTAAATATTAAATATCTTTTACTTAAGATTACGAAACAACGACGACGAACTCTCACAACTGGCCGATTTTATTATTTAAAGTTATAATTCAAATAATTATAATTAATGATTTACCAAATCCCATTTATACGGATGAACTCAGATAAAATTGTATTATTATAAGTATTTATGTGTAATGTGTTTCCTGTATTTACCTTGACATAGTCCATTACATATAACATCTGAAATAAGATAATGCGAATACGAGGATCGATAGATCTTGCTGCAATTTAATGGATTTAGTTGAAAAAAAGATATAGTGGAATTGCCGAAGACCTACGTCCCTACACTAATTTGACCAAAAAAAATCTATTTTCGTCGAACCATTGGCCCGCTCGTGCGGTTCTTCTTATCACATGATGCCTATCAACATATGTAAAGGCCAGACCAGAAAGAGCGAGAGGTTGGAGGCTGAGACTCGAGCACTCCGAACGTATACTCAAATGCGCGTGTGTGCGTTCGCGTGCACACGTGTATACGTATGTTTTTGAGCGGTGTGTCTTATGCATTTATGCATTGCATTATACTGCAACGGCTTTGTAAGAAGAAAGGAATAAGTTTTAAAGAACAAGAGCAAAGAAGAAGAAAGGGAAAAATTGAGTCGAATTGTATGAGTACGCGTATGTGTCAAGAGACAAATATGTACGGGGCGAAGGGGTAGAGAGATGAAGCAAGCAAATGAATGGGCAATAGTAATTTGTATTTAAAAGATGAAGAGCGTAGCAGCGAATGATACTATGCAGTAAACCGAAAAGAAATAAATCCTTTGCTTTTGTCGAAAAAGCAAATTAATTTTTTCAAATTAGTCGCCAACGAATCGAAAAAAAGTACAAGACTGTTATACCTCGTTCTTTTATTTCGCATACACTTGCTAAGAAAAATTAATTATTTTCATAGGTAGCTATCTAGGAAGTTATATATATTCATTCTTTATTTAACCTAGGGCTTGTGGAATTTTTCCGATAATAAAAATCCTAGATCCCTCCTCTTTCTCCCTCTACTCCGCCATATACATAGACATAATGCAACATTGGCTTGGAAGCGAAGGTCAATGAATCACGATCGGAATTTATTAGAAGCTCCGAGAGTAAAGTGCGCCAGGATATATCTCACGCCTCTGTTTGAAACTTATGCAGGATTACGTAATTTCAGTCACGGAATTATGTTAATCTTCTTCTATTGATTCGACCCTTCGTCGTGCAAGCATGTGGACGTTAGAAAAGGAAGAGAGAGAATGAGTAGGAGAGTCGATGTGAGCACGAGGAGGATGAAAGGCTGAAAGGAGGAAGAGAGAATGGGCGGTGGGACCGGAGGGAGGAGAGAGAGAGAAAGAGAGAGAGAGAGAGAGAGAGAGAGAGAGAGAGAGAGTTGTGCAAGTACCTCGTATACTGAAAAATGTCATTAACTCACATACAAGTCAACGTTCCTCTCAGCTCTTTTTTACCTCTCCTCTCTTGTATCTCCTTCCTTTCTGTTTTCGATCCACTCTAAATTCTTCGGTATGACAATTAACTCCATTAATGACCTTTTACCCTTTTGTAATAAAAAAAAATTATGTTAACTTAATAAACTTTTGTCTGCAACTCGAACTAACTTTTTCTCAAATTAAAGAAAGAAATAGATAAGGAAAGAAAAAAAATAAAATTATCCCATTTGAAATGTATTTTTATTTAAAAAGAGCCACTGCCAACACACATGGGAAAGCGATTTATATTTTATTTAAAATATTATAAAATTTAAAATTTTAATTTAAAATAAAAATGTGAAATAGCTTTAATACCACAATTTATCACCACTTATACAATTACATTTTTTTTCAAACGTTCGAGACTGGTTTCTTATTTTTATGTCATAGTTTAAATGTTTAGTTGTTATGTAAATGCGACTATCTAACGATATTTATTGACGGTGGAATTCGTAAATTCGTAAATGAAAAAATGTTCATATTTCACAGAAATATTCAAATTAAAACACTAAACGACTAAAGAAATTTAGTCGCACCGATTATATAACGTCTGCCTTATAGTAAACAATATTTTAATCGAATAGTTAGTTTAAATAACGAAAGGCTTAAATTTACCAGCCAATTTTATATAGGACGTTTAACCGTAGTTATTATCGCCTTTCTTTAGTTATTTCACCTTCTCATTACGCGAGAGAAGAAAAAGTTAAAGAAGCAATGCCAGCCTTCGTGAAATGATGCGCGTCACATGTATTACGGGACCACGTAATCAAGGACCCGTCGGTAAATGCACAAAGAAGTCAAATACTATTTCTAACG